GCGCCCTGTTGAAAGCGATTGACGCACTTGTATTTAAATAAAATGTCAACATTTTTGCAGTAAAATTGTCACATCTCGCCGAATATTCATCCATTCAATGGGTGCACTCTATTATAGTTTACGGCTAAACGTTTCCGCTTACTGGGAATATCCGATCATGATTATGGCTAATCTCCTTCCCATTTGGTCTAAAAATACGTACTATCATAGCACAGGTTATTGCCTACGCGGGAAACGAAGCTTAATCGTTGAGTCTGGCCTTGCCAATTGAAGGTATATAGAAGATGTTCACTTAAACACTTGACGACATCCCCGTGTTGCATTTATGTGGCCGCCGTGTGAGATCCAGAGCCGGTCTGCGAGCGCCGCCCCTCACAAACAAATCTGTGGATTTTTGAGCTTTAAATACGCTAATACATCGTATGCGACAAAAGTGTTTGCACTGATATTAAGTGGGTTCAACTTATTGGAAGGTACACATTGTGAAGTGCGGTCGACATGATGTGTTAACAGCACTGAAAAAGGCAAGGTTCACTTACTTCTGCCTTTAATGATTTGAAAGATTATTTTTGACATGGTTGTTTTCGGGAAAAACACAGTAGCCTGCCACAAAGAGCTTTGTACTCACTTCTAATACTGCTTTTTTATCACATTATTCGTTTAATGAAGAGGAAATGACAGAATGAACTGGATACGGAATTTTCGCCGGTCCGAAAACCTCTCATACTATAAGAATAATTTGGCATTCTATTAAGCGCTTGATTCTGGTTATGTTGTGTATCGGCCTAAAAAATGAACACAAAAAACCTGGGAAGAAATGGCGTGTTCAAGATAAAACTGAATGTAAAGGGTGTGGCAGCTATAGTCCATTGCGGCGTGCAAAACGCGGCAAACCTAGTAGTTGCCGCGCTGTCGTCAAGGTGTTAAGAACAGCTGGACATCTGGAAACGACACATTGTAACTGCTGTAATTCACGTTACTGGGCACATTTCCTCTAGGGAGAAGTTTGAGAAAATGAAAATGTGCTTGAAACACTGTCGCGAGCGTAGTTCAGCCAAAGCAAAGGACCTGATTCCAAAGAAACTGAAGCAATTTTATGCTTTGTTATTGAGCAGTAGCGCGAACTCTTTCCGATCTTATGCTCTTAAGTCGCTATTTAGTGAAATTTATAATGTGGCTGAAGTAAATTCGGTTACTGATGTTATTGGTCAATCGTTTGGAGTAATCGTTACTTGAAAATTCTCTCGAACCTTTGTCAAGTGTACCAAATATGCTGGACCTATTCCTGTAGAAGCCTTAGGAAGAAACCGCATATCCTGAAACTCGACCATCTGCACTCGAAATAAATTGTTTTCCACCAAGCCTATTGATTGCGGTGTACCTCTCAAAATGTATCATTGAGGAGCTGAGCCTGAATACTACCGTAAGTTGGGCTCTGTAGCTTCTAAACTCGTAAACTCTTGAACGCTCCCAATATTCCAGCTTTACCAAAGGGGTCAAGGACAGGGTCATTTCGCCTCATATTGGAGGCTATTATAGACTCACTATTTTTTGAAGAGATGGCACTCGCGTTGAAGTTTGTGTCAGGATATCACGTCAAGGGAACGGTCTCGACTGTATGGCCCCTCAAAGGTATCGGTACACCGCCACCCCCCCCCCCGCTCCCTTCTAGTCGATAGCTTTAATATCGTCGTTGAAACAAGTTCACAGTTCGTTGACACACTCCAACTACGCCCTCAAAATTGCAAAATCCTTTATAAACGCCGTCAGGTGGAGGAGAGGGGAGGGGGAGGGTAAGTGGGGGAGGGAGGTGCATGTAATTGTTGAAACAACAATGTTCACGCTGTTGCTTCATCTTTCCACCTATCTCTTACTTCCCATCCACGCCCCATTTTACCACGCAGGCAATCAAGCGAACAAGAGGCCTCTCTTTCGAGCAGGACAAATAAAACCACCTATCGAATGATCCATGACGCTGATTCACCAAGGTTGTCACTCTGTGAAGGAATCTGCTGAACGTTGACGGGATAACGTTTTAGTGGTTTTGAGTGTGACTCGTCTTACTCGTTCTTCAATTTCTCGACTATTATTATCCTTATTAGCCTCATCTCACAATTTTTTATTGTCTCAGCACTATCAGCCTAGTGCTACGCAAGTGGATTGCGGCACGATAATCCTTTGACTCAGGTGATCTTCGCGCGTCCACTGCGTGGGGCGGCGATCTATCTCCTTTTCAAGAAATATTCTCAATGCTGGATCGTATCTACGGCAGCAATCGTGCCAAAAGGGCCAAGCTCACGAAAGTGATGAGGCTTCGTTTGTGTAAAGTCCTTGCGCACTTCTTTAAACCAAGGGGATTTCTACTAGTTCGGCTTAACATGCAGAACAGCCTTGAAATTCCATTTTCCCTCTTTAATCCATATCCGGACATGGACTCAGATGTCTTTCTGCCAAAATTACGAGTGCGGTGACTGTGAGCCAAAAACTAGCTTTATTCATCTGAGTCTTATAAGTTTACTGAATGAAAACGCTATCAAGCAAAGTATTGGGAAATGATTACTTAAAAATATAAGTACCCAAGGCCACCATAAGTACCGTAGCTCTTTCCTGATAAACTAGCTATCGCTAAAAACTGGAAATAAAATCCGAGCAACCCGAATTCTTGCATGACACACAACGTTAGGCGTTATTTTCGCTAGAGGGATAACAAGATATTCATCACCGCAATACCAATCACCCATCGCGCGATTATGAGTTGTTTTCTTGAAGCTCAGAAGACAACAATGGCAACGGGGCCAGTGAGGCATGGACCCGGAAGAAATCGTGTCTAAAATTTCCTGCAGTATATGGCGACTCGATGCATTGTTCGGCTGGCTAGTTTCTGCGCCGCAGCGACTGCAGATGGGCCTCCTGTCGAAGTGCCTCAAAAAATATAAACCTCAGCATAAAGAGCCGCTCTGGAAACTTAAATGCTCAGATCTTACATTAATTATCCCCTTGAGTAAGGGAGCAGGACTCCTCACCACAAGGTTGTTACATATTATTCCGAATCAAATTCCGACTCAGGGGTCGCAGCGTGTGCTAACGCACCTGAAACTGCCATCTATCACAGACAGCATCGTGGTGTCTGCACGCTCTCGCGTGCGAGATTCTCGCAGTTTTCCTCTCCTCGAAGCACTATGACTCCACGTCACCAGGGTCTTCCTCACCAGAGAAATTTCAACGTTTTCCTTTATGCATTTGCTTTTCCTACTGACGTTCCGCATCGCAATTCTTGTTTATTTCCGAACAAACAGTCACACCAGTTTGATCGCGACCCATGCCTTTGATATTTTGAAGACGTGATGTTTCGCCAGTAGTTGCAATCCGCTAGAAATAGTCGTTCGTAAGATGTACGGTAGAAACCTTATTCGCGATCGGAATAACTAGCAAAGCATACGTGTACACTGGTGTGCAAATGCTAGGGACAAACCTAGTTTTTCCACAAAGTTTCACTGGCGCGTAGCATAACTCTATGGGACTTAATCACACATACAAAGAGCTGTCACAGGGCACTAAAGAAAGCAGTTAACAGGAACCGTTAAACGGTCCACAAAGATATTGAAAGATTATAATACTGCATCGGTCTTGTCCTTATGTTTTGCATACCAGTGTATAATATATAATATTGTTCCCCTGTCACGCACATTTTGAAAAGAAGATAAATCCGCCTTGTACCACTACTATCTCACTGTACAAATAATCAGTACATACCCTACCCCAGCAGCAATCCTTGGTAGAGTCTGCGCCTTACTATCATTAATACCGTATCCTACGAGCGTTGCCACAAATAATACTGCGCACTGGATCACCAAACCATGCAGATAGTGCCCGGAGGGCAAACCAGTGTGCAGAGCTGTTTTTTAGCTGGTCACAAAACGGCCCTAATAAATTCCATTAAAGTGCTAATTCCTTTCATTGAGGTACAGACACCTAAGTGGAAAACTGAAAAAAGCAGGATTTGGAAGAAGAATCTAGCAGACGATCAAAAAAGGCATGCGCTTTTCGTATTCACTTTAAACTCCTAATGAGCTTATTGTCGAGCTATTGGGGTTCCATGCACATCAATAACAATTCAGTGAACCATCCAGGCACCGAGTCATTGTGAGGTTAGTCAAGAAGCTTCGTAACTACTTTTGTACAGCGACAATCACATCTCGTCCTTGAAGGGTTCTTTTGTTTACAGTTTAGTTGCATGTTTTGAAATGAACGCTTGTGAGCGAAACCTGCAGAAAGAATTGTTGCGCTAAAGAACTAGGTGCGAATAACGGAAGGATTCATCAGCATTGGTACAAAACACGGGGAAACCGCAGCGTTCAAAATCAGCCATACTAGTGGTAGGTGGCAGGGTCAACCGTTACGTTGGACCGACATTGGACCGACGTTGGACCGACGTTGGCCGCTCTCCACGCCGGCATTCGCACTCGCCTTGCGCGAGCCGTCTGTGTCTCCGTGCGTACGTTCACTCTCGGCATTACTCTCACACGCTAGAGAGCCATGCGTTGCACTTTGTCCAACGGACGGTTGACCCTGGTAGGTGGTGCGCAAAGTTGAGCGTGCATGCCCGTTTGAAAACCAGTCTTCCCACACGTATTAGTGTTATTCGGGCCATCTTTCGGAATTGTGAGAAATAGGATTACACATTCCACATGAGCTTGATGGGGATCGGCATACGTGTGAATGGTTGCCAGAAACACAGTCCTGTAGGCGTTGTTGTTCTACCAGAAAGCATCCAGGTAACGCTCCACTGCTGCTTCGGTAACATTTCATTCAGCACAGCATCAAGCTTGACGCCACAGACGTAATGTCGATGTCCGTGTAGGAACAGCCTTAGACCAATGCTATTTCTAGTCTGAGTCATGGACTGAGTTGTAAGAGAATGTAGAGAGCTTTCTCTCACTTCTTTTACTGCTAAACGAAAGTCATATTGAATTGAGCGTAAACCAAATCGTGCTCTCAAAATGTCGTATGCCACAGTGGCAGAGACGGACGGACGAATCACGATTCGGATGGCTCAACATTTGCGCTCTTTATATTGGCCAACACGAGAGTTTCCTCTGACGAAGCTCATCCTACTGTACGAATTTCACAACAGAATTGAGAGAATGTTATTCAAAAACACAACACATAACAGCCGAGGTTATTAATTAATTTGTCGACGAGGACTTGTAATCATTGAAATAATTAGCTAACGCTATTTGGCTAGGAAAACACTTGAAAAATTGAATGAGTCCAAGTATGAATACATAAGGTTGTTTGCCTTCCAAATTTCTGAATTGGTGTGGGGGCCACCGCTGATAGAGGACTAATATGGAGTAGGTAAAAGGTGTGAGTTTCGTCGTCGTTATCTTTTAGGATGTTAAATTGTTATGTATTTCAAACTATTCAACTATCCTGGTCTTCTATCTCGGCCAATGAATCGTCACGATAGCGGAATTGTTCTCCCGCGAACACCTCACTAGATGAATAGCTCCCACTAAATCCACCGACTTTTCACACATTTTTTATCCGTAAAGTCACAGGCGCTTTCGTGTATGGTGAAACACAAGGGAGGGGGGGGAGGCAAAAAAGATAACAACACAACAAAACCAGTCACTTCGTCCACATCTCCGAATTTTTCGTAGCGCAGGGTGCCGCTCCTGGTGTAAGCTTGACGACGTAGTATTCCGTAGCTGTTCCTTTATGAGCAAGCAGGCCCTCCTTCAGTGCGCTCACCGTCCTTAGCACATTGTAGACAACGCGAGGATATGTATCACGCACATTGCAGGCCATGCCGGGCCGTGCGGGATACATATCCACCGTACTCATTACGCCCGTTTTTCTCGCGTACGCCTGATCCTTTTAGAAGTTTCTTGTATTTATTCCACGGAAGAGATCTTGACGTAGCTAAAAACGTAGGGGCCCATAGAAAGGTCACGCATGCTTAGAGGAGGATTTCTGAACAATACGAAATCTTCAGTTTAATAAATTTTTCGTTTACCTTTCCCTTTATGGATGTGAAGATTTTGACAGTAGTAGAAGTAGATACGACAATATGTGTGTTTTGACTGGAATAATCAACATAAAATTGCTTTTGAGGTTCATTGCAGCTAGTTCTGGCCAAATTCGCTTTTTCATTGTTACTCCACGTGTTTCGATAGAAATTCCACTACTGCACTCCTGAGCAGGTTGTGTTCCTTACAATTTACTGATCTGGTTTTGTAGTGATCATTATTTACGTATTTATCACTCGAAATCTGCTTGAACGACCTGAGGCGGCCGCGTCTGCAAAATCGCCTCTCCCACCTGGCCAAGAACGCCATGCTCGCGTTGTCGTCAACGTGTTAAAATATGACGTTATCTGCCATCAATGTCGAGCTCAAAAGGGCCTGCGGTTATCGTTCCCGCCTAAAACTTTTACGTTAACTTTTAATCAGTCAATTGAAGGAGAGCTTCCTTGAGACAGTGGCTGTGACTACGCGAGTCTGCTTTGGACCAGCGTTCAGATAGCGTTGTAATCGTTCAGACTTCGTTGAGCTCGCAACGTGCACCCAGGGTCAACCCTGCGCTGCGCAAATTCCCAAATTTTTACGACCCCCTGCCGTTTCGGAGGGTATCGGTACGAGCCCCATATGTAACTATCATGTCTTTCACAAAATTTAATCGCATCATCAATGCTCATCAATGATGGCAGTCACCAACATGGAGAAGTGGTGGACCGTGGTCAATCCGCGCCCTCTGTCTCGCTCAGAGTAGGAAATGGAGACAACTGAAGTTTTATTCATTAAATAGAAGGAATTTTCAAATTTTTGCGTAAACCAATACATCATTTTATTCGTAAAGATTTCTACTTTCAGAAACCCACCAGGATTTTTTCGATCTCTCAACTTTCCTTACCTTATAATCTGAAAAACTGAACCTCGTAGCAATTACATTGCAATCCAAACCCCTCCATTCTGAAGGATAAATTTTCTTTCAGAAGCTGTTTCATGAAATCGGACACCAAAATTTTGAAAATATAAATTGTTTTCTTTCTGAGGAGTATTCGAAATGTTGTGGATGTTCAGTATTTCGAAAAATCGTCCCGTTGTTCCGTTTTCTGTGCACACGCGAGTTTTTGGCATTCAAACATTCATAACTTTCTTCATAACCAGCTTTTGTAAGGCTAATTAGAAACTAGAAGATTAGAGCTTTCGAACAAGCACCTGAAAATTTTCCAGCGATCATTTTTTCAAAAAATAGTCCCGTGTTCCGTTCTTGGGTGGTTTGGGGTCCGATTTTTGAGAAGGCGCGAGTTTTCGACATTCAAACGTTAATAACTTTCTTCAAACTCAATGTTTTGCAGATGTCTAAGGCTAGTTAAGAAACTAGAGGATTAGAGCTTCCGAATAAGTGCTAAAACTTCTTGAAATAATCACTCGCTCAAAAATAGTCCCGTTGTTCCGTCAATTCCACCTTGATTTTCTTCATGCCTTTTTCCTGGACCGCGACTATGCAGTCTTTAAAGGCCCATAACTTCCTTTGATATTAATATGATGAGAAGCGGTAAGGATTGTTGGAATCCACTCGAAGAGTACTTTATAACAACTGTGAAACTTCCCTGAAATTCCTTCTCTGCCTCAATTTTCCTACGGCGTCTCTAGAACTCAATTCAGCAAATTCGCTACGCTTTGTTTCGCTTAAATTTTATTTGAAAGCATCAAAACTCTCTTTAGAAAGTTTGTCTGCTTACGGCCGCTGACAGAGGAGGCTTTTTGATGGAAAACGCCTGGTCGGGTATACGCCGTGCACCTATCTCTGGGCAGAATTCGCACTTGCATTTGAAAGTCTTCTGTTTTAAATCCTGATTGAGCTGTATTGTGCTGTATTAGGATGGCACCCTTGTTTTCACTTTCCCATGAACTGCTCTAAACTCTGTTCTCCTCGGGATTTCAGGGATGTTTCATCATTGAAGACAGACAATGTTTTTGCATTACACTGTAACAAAGTTTTTGGCCGTTGTCTATTGTACTCTTGATCTATGCCGCGGAGCAGAAGCGCAGTCCGGATAGCGTCGCTTAAGAATAATAGGCTGATTGTGAGATCTATAGTGCTTTGCATGCTTTAATGCTCCCATGGAGCTCTTGTCTGTGTTACTCTCCAACGCGTGCAGAGCTCCTGGAGAACATTAGAGGCTGAAAGTGCACTCCCGGACACTGCACTTTTCAAGCCGTCTTGCAGCCCGTTTGTGGATACGACCCCCTCCCTTTTCGGTCGGCTGTATACGACCCCCTCGTTGTTCTTTGCGCAACGCAGGGTTGAACCTGCGTGCACCTTGTTCCCGTGGGAAAATCTTCTGATGCCGTCGGTGCAGAACGCTATTATGAAGCTTTTGATAGATTGGAATGTGTAGTTTAATATGAACTTGGGCGCGTCAAACAATGTGTAAATATTTGGCTTCATATGTGAGGAAAGAATAGCGCTTTTTTTTGTCCCTCCCACCTGTTGAGCTGTCACTTCTTATCTGCAGTGATGACCTTGTTCAGCCAGTTTATTCGGGAAGACTGGGGAAAATTGGAAAGTGCTCGTCTCGCACTTGCCATCACAGAAGAAGTCATGAAGGATGTTCGATCAAGGTTCAACAGTGCCGTGGGAATGAAGACCTTCAAGCACTGTGTGCCTTACACATCCTAGGTAGTAGCCATTGTGCCGATTCACTGCGCGGGTTGTCTTCAAGGCGAGGGTGCATCTGGTCCTAATCCAACACCGATGGGCCTGCAAAAGTGGAATTTTCTTCAAGGCCGTTGTTCCCTCATCGAAGGAGGTCTAACCATTTCAATTCTGTTCGCTGGACGACGACTGAAAGATGTGCCGCAACCGACTGTTCCGTTTGACTTCAATCGGCTTATGACTAGATAGCAGTTTGGGAATAGAATCGTAACAGACATGATTTTTTGCGATTATGAACTAGAAGAGAGCATTTAGAGCTGGTATGACTCAATTCCAAATTACTTCACCTAATGCGCCTTCCGTAGCCTATGTGACCATATTATGAGGAAGGAGTAAGTAGTGTTTTAGTGAAAAGGTAGCACTAACTTTGGGATAATGCAGTATTATGACGAGCCTGAAGACAGTGAGTTGGAAAATTTAGCCCTGTGTACTGTACATCTATACAAGGGAACATAGTGCAGGCTATCTGTAATACCTTCCGCAGCGACCTGTGTTTTTGATAAAGCACTCCAAAATGGCTATCCACCCGCGCCCCCTCCAAGTATCGGTGTAAGACCCATCTTTCACCTTTTTGTGCTCTAGCCCTTGCAATGGAGAGATAGATCACGGCGCTCATGAGGACGCCCTCAGCTGACATTGCACCTCGTCCAGCGCCTGAGATCATATGCAAAAATTGATAGTTTAATTTCAACAGCTCTGGATTTTCCCTTTGCCGCACCACTTAACCCTTTAGCGTTCATTTTCGAGTTCTATTAAACTTACCGTACGAATTGACTTCTTAATGTCTCGTATCGTACAACCTCTAGAGCACATGTTTGTTGTCTTCTGTTAAATAGCCTTGAAGCCTATAAGAGAGGCCGCGCAGGAATTCCTCAATCAACACGTATCATACAGTAATCACTGCCGCATACCGTAATCCCTACTGCGCCATCGTGTTGTATCGAACCACCGGTAGTCATGCAATTCCCAAGATTCCATTCGAAGATTCGGATGAACTGTTTTTTCGGCTCCCAATGAATTTTTTTGAAAAGCTAATTTTCGTCATTCACAGTGAAGGTGTGATTGACAGTTAATGAGAAAGATCTGTTGCCAACGGTACAAAGGCAAAATAGTCGGCAGCATAAGGGCCATCAGTTATATACCGAGCAAGGGCATTTGAAATGCCTCAACTATGAAGTATTTATCAGGAGTGGCTTGAGTAGTGGCGGCATCGATGTTTTTCTTAAACTTGCATAACAACTACGAGTAAAACCTCTGCTTACATCTAAAGGGTGGGAGTGCCAAGTTTTTGCTGTTGTCCTTTTGTTTAGAGAGTGCCAGTGTTAACTGAAACTTCAGGCGGCGTCTTGCTCCAAAACGTTGCAAACTGCAACGAGATTCACCTTGCCTCTTATACTTATATGGTTAGAAGTTCATATTTTGTTTTTCTTATCTATTAGCTAATCAAACAGTTATAATTTCAAGGCGCTTCAATGGCTTATCAGGTTCATGTTCAGGCCATGCTTATGCTTATATATCCCTCGCTTACCAACGCCTTCGCCCGTATAAAACCCTTCGCCCAGAAGACTGCAGCTCAGTATGCTCCAGAAGTTCGTGCTTCCACTCGTCCAATCCCAACAAGATCGGATCGCTCCCGATACCCTCGACTCCCGTTCAAGATCGATCAATAGTGGAGAGTTGAAGTTCGAACCTATCTATAGATTATCGAGATCACAGGGGCTGATCTAAGTTTGGCGCTCAAATCAGGGTATATAAACCTGAGATTCCGTTCTCTCATCAGTTCGTCTATATTCGGTTCTAATAAATATTCCTAATCTTCTCTGATTGCCGACCGACCTCCAGCGGCCCGTAGACGTAGCGGAACCCTTGAGGGTGAGCAAGAGAGGACATTCTGGAATAGTGCAATAAATAATACATTTATTCGTTTCAGTACATAAAGCGAACCGACGTGGCCAGCTTATAGCTGTCAGGCGAGCCCAAAAAAGGATTCTGAACTGAATAATTTGAGGTCGTAACGGCTGAAGGGTGAGGCCGTTTCGATATCATGGAATATCATTGGTGGACTAGACCTCTGACAATCAGTGAGCTAGGAACTTGTTAGATCGCTTCTCAGCGCCCCTCCACTTAAACGTTCAATAACATCATCACCCCCCCCCCCTCAGGCATCGTGACGATCCCTTTCAAGAAATATTCCACGATTGCTCCGATTGCGGCAACCTTCCGTGAATAGGGTATGAGAGTCAGCATTGCGGGGCTAACATTTTTGTCTACGGCAGCCTGCATGAGCTACGACGGCCCGCTGGTACGAGCGCTTCGAGGTCTACGTCTCGAGCGTCTTCTATACACTCTTGTCTATTCTCCAACTTCTATCTTCTTGGCTAGTTGTAAGTCTGTTAACTTACGAAGTTGTCTGGCAGAAAAATTATCTCAATGGCCAGACGTCTCGACTGAGTCGTCGTCATCAGAAGCCGACGGTTTCACCGTATGAGCGGAAAAGTCCGCTTCCACGCTGGAGCGCTCGTCAGTTGGAAGTCTTCCTCTGGAAGCGGCACTAAGTTGAAACGTTAGGACTTTGAAATAAATGTACCACCAAACAACCTCGTAGGGCACAAGAAATATAACAGACTCTTGTCTATTTTCTTCCTCAGCGTCTGACGTACGTCTCTGTCTGCGGATTCTTTGTCCTCTCGAGGCTCTAAAAGCGAAGCTGTTAGGTTGTCAGACTTTGCAAATCGAGCGATTCGCTAGCGTCCAGCGAATCTCCCGGTTAGTTTGTACGGTAACGCGACCGGACGCCACGAATTGCTAATGACGAAGCGCTCAATTCGCAAAGTCTGAAATCGGCCTCAACTCAAACATTTTGGACATTTTGAACACTCTATTTATTTCTGCACCTGCAAGCCACATGGAACGCGTTCTCCTGGTTTTCGGGAGCGACTACATCGAACTTACTGCGAAGCGGCCTTGGGGCTTTTATTTTGAGTGGTCAAGTAAGTTCTGTGGCGATGAGCTGTTTTTTTTTCTAAATTCCAAGTCGCTCGCTTAGTCGCTGGGAATTGGGTGGTGTCTCCCTTTAACTCTTTTATGGTGACGTTTCTAATTATAGCTTTCTCATTGGTGGGATTGCTTACAGTAACGTATTCATACGACTTCTTGAACTGTTCAATCGCATCATCTTTTTTAATCTATATCGATTTCTTCAAGGCCTTTTTCTTCAGCTGAATTACGCCTCAGTTCAGTTCATCATGACAGGATCAAGCCTAAGCGTGACTTCTTCTCTGATCTTAAGTCGATGAGCAAAGGAATCTCCAAACTCATCAATGTGTTTTTCCACCATTCCTTCGACTCGACCCCTATTCTCACCAGAGTTGTGCTTTCTTCAAAAAGTCCTCGAAGGACGAAAGGGGGTGCACTCGGGGGTCGACTCTAGAAGCAGCATTTTTGGCGGCATGACGTGGAAAGAGTATGGGAAATTTTCAAGGATTCGGCATTCAGGAATACCGTATCTGATTCATTCTTTCCTCTTTTCCCGGCTTCGAGGGATTCTGTAGATCTTCGAATTCGCTGCTCTTTCTCCTTTGGAACTCTTTTGACCATGAGTTCTCTTTTGCACTGCAGATTAGAACTAATTTGTGGACACGATGACGCGTTAAAGCCAGGTCAGGCGGGTGAACACTAATTGAGCAACACAAAACGGGAACAGATATTACAATAATCTGTCCTAGGTAGTTAGCAGCGATAAGAGCTAGGTTAAGCCACAAAGTGAACAGCAAACAGTTAGTGAGCTGAACTTTTGTTCTAGATCAAGGGGTTACATGTACGAGTAACAGCGAGCCCAAAATCGTAATATGGCCGACGTGGGCGCCGCCGGCCGTTGCGTGGGCCCGGCGTGCGAGACTCTAGTTGATCTCTACGCCGGGGCCACGTGTCTGTTGTTCCTGCTAATTTTGCACCCACGCCGATATGGAAATCGTGTTTCCCGGCGCATTGTGCCCTGACCAAGTGTTGCGTTTGTTCCGCCACTCGAAGTGATATATGATTTTGATCATTGGAATGAGGTTCATGAAGTTAGGGTAAGCGCTTTTCGAATAAGAACGATACCTTAGATTCCTTTCGTATTGACCCATGCGAGAGTGAAACAGTAGTTTTGTTTTGCCAAGTGCTGTTTTCCGCAGCAATGAGCGAGTTTTATGAGAGGCTTCTTGAGCGACACTTATAATAACCTATAATAACTTTGCGATTCTGAATTTCATTGCAGACTAAGAAGTATGTTGATTGTCTGGATACATTTTTTATAGTATTGACTTGAAAACGACATATGCATAACAATGCAAGGTTGTTGTTGAGCGCCTAACTGTATGGTTTGAGATTTTCAACTGTTTTCGAGCAACCTGAACGAAAAATTTTTTCGCAATTTTTATGCGAACTCGTTCTCTTCGAAAGCTCTGCGCTAGTTCAGTTTTGAAACAAGCACTGCGATTCTAATTAGGAGCCTGTCAAATAAATCCAGCGAATGTAATAAGTATGTGACAGTGCTAGAACGGGACGTGAAGACTTCACAATGCCTGTAATCTCTCGACGGTCAAAGGTGTCGCGCTTGAATTCTCAGCCAAGTTACTTCCTTGACTGAGGCAGCAGAACCCCTACTCTCAGGGTGTGATACCCTCGCGACTTGAAAACTTGCGACAAGGGAACTGATGCCATCGCTTCATCGCTGTGATCGCTGCGATCCTTATCAATCGCACATACGTTTCGTCTGCGCCCTCTCGCGTTTTCCCTATCCTCGCAGCACTGTTTCTCTGCGTTGTTCAACGGTAGAACTCACGAGAGAAATTCTAGTGTATCCCATGATGCTTTTTGCTCTTCTTCCCATTAAAATCCTCTTCGTATTCTTGTCTGTTTTTCCAACAAAGCAATACCAGGTCGATTGCGACATACCTTCAAGGACTACACTCGAATGACGGCGGAACCAGGAGGGCCTACCTCCGTCCTCTTCAGCTTAGCGTTTCACTGTCCTCTCGAGCTACGATTTGTCGACTGGTATGCGTCCCACGGGTTACGTTAGAAGGGAATTGTACACTTGATCAGGATTGACCTCTCGCTTACACTCAGTAAAGTGCACTCCGTAATAGGTGATGCTGGTGAATTGCATTTTCTGAACGATTCCATCGCTTGCTCCAATCTCTAACAATCAGTTTGAAGGCTGGGTTCTGAGCGAAAAGCGAACTACCCGTACCCCTATTCACAATTATTCGGGTCCAGCTAGCTGGCCGAAGCTCTCATAATTGCCGCAGTACAAGTGTATTTATGTTTCAGAACTGTTTTGTCCCGAACTTTCATGCTGACCTAAATGTGTAATAAGCAATGGGAAACTTCGCCTATTTATTTATATTATTTATTTATTGGTAATTGATTATTATACATTTATATTTCTTGTGTGCTCTGCGTAAGCAAGTGAGGCGGCGATAAGTGGCACCAGTGCCACGTTCATGTTCCGAAAATACGATTCAGGGCTCGAGTCGAATCTTGTCCGGAACGATCAACCGTTCGGTCATGGTGTCATTAATCTGAGACCAGACATGTGTGTAGAAAGTAACAAAGTAGAAACGCAGTGAGTTACGTTGATCACAGGTTCACAGGTCCCTTCTGTGCTAGTACATTTTGGGTACGTGTGGGGTGTATGGCGCATCTTGTGATGAGATTGCTGAGTACATAAGGTTTTGACATGTTTATCTAATCAAAGTGAGACCTTTTATATTGTAGATCCTTCTAAGTAAATTCCATTGAATCAAAAAGGTTTTCTTTCTGATAACCCTAAGAATTGTGACGTATCGATAGCATTTCTTTGTGCTCTACTGAATCATGACAAACGAAAACCCGTCAGCTTCACGTCAGATTTATCCATGATGTCATAATTTTTTTCGTTTCGCTTCACTCTAATTGGTCCAAATTGCCATAACCCACAATTCAGAACATTTTTGAGAACCATACCCACGTCTGGGCGTCCTTGAATTCTTGAACCCGTCGGTCGCAAACCATTCTGTAAAGCAACTCTGCCTCACAACTGTTGATACCTCAGAAAACTACAAAATGGGCGGGGACAAGAACCTCTGAAATGTCGGGTATCAAAGATTGAAGGTTTCATCTGGTGCTTTTTTGTTTCTATGTTGTTACCATCGGGCTTAACCACTTGTCGACTGAGTCACACCACATTTGTGGCCCCGTGGTGACCCTATGGATAAATGTCGTCGTCTACCATGAATGATTTCCCAAAATTCGAGCTGCACTCCGACCCGCTGATAATAATGTCGCTTCCTCAACGAAATCGGAGACATCATTCTCAAAAATGCCACGACACTCACCGTAAGGCTCATATAAGTGAGTGTACTGAGTGATTCTTCACGCTACTAATCCGCCCGAGAATGCATCACCTCTGCCAGCTCCCTTTCTGGGCGTTGCCGAATGACCATGACGTCATCGCTGATTAAATGAACTCGCGAAATTCGCGCTCTACCAATCGCTTGGCGCATACATTATGCGACTAGCGTGGTGTGTCTATTGCGGATTAACTTTAACATCGTTGTGGTCACATCTGACCGTTAGCAACTAGAAGTGACACCTATCACGACGTCACCTACAATTGACTTCGCGGCGACTATTGTGCTGTGCCATTTCACCCTAGTTGATGTTTGCCACGCGAAATTCTACAGCAAGCACCAGGATCAGCAGTCAGTCACCTTCCCCCAGTACAGGCCGTAGGTCATTTAGCTTCCAGGCTGTCGATTCTTCCTAATATCTTTTGTGAATGCTGCAATAATTATTAAAAATGCATGCACGTCATCAGCAGCTGTACGTGAACTTCATCACTGCCACTGAGACTTCATTAAGTTTTATTTCGAGAGGTTCATTGATGTGCTCTTCGGAGCTTTTGCTGATCAATTTATAGCCATTTGAGAAGATCTACATTTCCGTCTCTTGGTAAAAGAAAGTCTTGGTTCGTAATTATGAAATGCATTCGTCGCATTGTATAGGAAATTGCTAAAGCACGTCATTTTTCCCAAATAATATGTCATATAGACTTTTTAACCTCTCTTCTGCTACTGTATTGCCTTTCGAATCAATATCCTCAGAAATTCTACCTCTTCAAGTTTCACTGTGCTGCTCATTCTTCAGAATGAGCCATGCCTTCAACTCTCTCTGAATCTATAGCTGGCGCTTGGAAGTGTTTTCCGTCGAATCATGGAACTATCTGTCATTGCCATAGGAAGAAACTGCTCTTGGACGCGAACAAGTGTTTTATTGTATCGAATATTCAGATGACACCGAATTGGCATGCAATTTTCGTGCTAGTTGCAGCATCGTGAGGGATATCTTAGAAAGACTAATACTAACCGAATCTCGCTTCTGGTTCGCGCAGAAAGTACTGATTACTCGACTTCGTAACGGGTTGAACTAATAGTTAGAAGACTCCAGTTGCCCGCACGTCATGAAATTCGATTTGACTAATAGAACGAAGTTTCAGTTTCCCCATGGGCCAGCTTTTTGCTAGGTCATGCTTCCGAGTAATTACTAGTTGTGCGGGCCGCGACTGTTACAGCATCTCAGCATCTCATTACAGTAGTCTACTGCAAATGCTGTGCTGAACGATTACTAAATCGCTTACGACGCTTCTCTTCAATTTTATTGTCGTTTTTCTTGAAAATATTCCAAACATGAAATTATGTCATCGCTCGACAGAATCAACAACGTCAGATAACTGCTCATCATAAAATGTAGACGGTGTTTTTCAGCCGTCATAATTTCCCAACGTAACACAACGCTCTTTCCCATTTTCAGAAACGCTTTCAATTTCAGCTCAAAGCAACTAATAACATATTCGTTAACTTCTATTTAGGCCGCCACCTATAGATGCTCTGTTGCATGTATAAGGAGTGTCCTAATCTCTCGCATATGTAGCTCATCTGACACTCTAGTCACTTTCGTTTAGAGTCTGGGTCAGGAACTGAGAACTGTGGCGGCGCGGCGATAGCGACGCCACAATCGGGGTCAGCGCATATACGATGAGTCTAGGCGCGAATGGGTCAGGCGACGACGCGTGCGGGCGAAATCGTTTTACTGCAGCGCTGCAGTCTCATGTCGTGACCTACACCCACCTAGTCACTGGTACATACTATTTACACCGATTTCATTGCAGAAAATATGATCGGCTTAGCGACACTGCGATCAAATTGGATCAGTCGTTGTATCTTGTTGGCTGCATTCTTATGTTTCTTCGTGTCAGAGTCGCGTACTATCGTACGGGATATAAGCAACAATGAGGCAATTTGTTAATTATTGAGCATTCCGTTTGCTTCAAAATAGTAAATATACTGAAACAAACGAAACGACTTTTCAGTTGCCGCAATATCTAGATTTATCTGGTTTCGTACGAGTTCGGAAGGGTGAATGGGTACCAGACTCGGTTAGTTCCTCATGATTTTTAAGGACGTAATAAAACTAGAGCTTAATTCTCCTCAGCTTGGTAGTAACGGGTTTCAGGAATGCACTGTGCACCAGCACGAAGTCCTGCATGCTGTAATGGATCGACTTTGTGAAGTCTGTCATGAGATGTTCTACCACGAGCAGGGCAATCTACGATCCCAGTGCAGGTAAGCGCCGCCACACTTGATACTTCTTTAATCAATATGCAACCAAATTCAGATAAAATTCAATATAACTAATAGTCAAAAAATCAATGCTGCTCGACCAATGCGTTGCGCAGCGTACCGTGTGCATCACGGTATTGTTGTATTTGATTGTTTGGCCATTTTGGCGTATTCTATATTCTGAGCCCATGATTTTGACCAAAAACGACACTAATATCACTTTTAAGTATGTGCTGGTAGAGTATTAATTTTCCGTTTAAAAAAATCGAAAAAGGTGAGACGCATGGTGCGGCCGCCATGGGTTGGAACACACACTCATTCCTCGGAAGTGTACATCCAGTCCATTTATCGCGACATCTCTGTGAAATTCCCCTGAGCACTCACTCTACCCTTGAAGAGTCATCGTTAAATTTTTATGGAAATAAAATAAAAAACTGAAAGACTTGAAAAAATATTAAGAACAAGCAATGTGTTTCCATATTTTTGGTAGTCAGCCTTTAAAAACTTGAGGCCGAAAAATGCGTTGTTGACAGAAAAGTCTAAAGGAAAAACCTTAGTTCGGTTGCCAGAAATTTGCTTCCACTCAAAAGGAAGCAAAGCTTCGACTGCTCCACAATAGTCTTCATAATCAAATGAGTAAACGTATGACGTGATTAGAACTGAAATAGCGCTCAAAATGGCTCTTGGTCGTTCTGCTTGGTGTGTCTGTTTGTCTGAATTGATGTGAGTGTAACTGGATGCGCTTTAACAGCTTTGAATTTGAGACTCTTCCTGTGGTCCGATGGAGTACGTCATTAACTTGGAAGGTCACATGATTGCTCCCGAATTTAGGCAGAACGAATGAGGGCTGTAATTGTATTTTCTCACTAAACCCGTCCCGTATAAAAGACAGAGCGTCTACCTCAACAATTCTTTCGGGATGCGCATTTTACTTCCATTCAAAGTAGGAGGGGCAGCTTCGGCTTGCTTCACAGTGAATTGTGGGTCACCCGATGTGCAATTCACTGTTTTTATACCCCAGACGAGTCTGGTGCCAATTATCTGACCCTGAAGGGTTGGAGGGCTTGGTTGGGCTGATCGCCTAAGTTTCGGGGTTTAATCCCTGAACCACGTGTGTGGTAAGCAAGTCATTTGAGGCTACACCAGTTCGGCCATGCGTTCTATAATAAGTACTAATCCAATCAATCATGAAAAAGACGCACTAAGAAGTTTTGACGACAGGAGAAAGTACAGTTGCAGTTCACATCGAAAGCCGATGTTGTATAAGGGATCAAAACTAGGACAAGTCTAACCACAAATAGGTTGCATGAATAGGACGTACTCTCTCGTTCCCAACATCACTCCCATAAGCTCTTACGACCATTTCCACAGCCTTGTTATCAATACAAGAATCTGTCCCAAATTGTAATGCTTAGTAAATAAACCCACAAAAATCTTGCTCACTAACTGCTTCCACCACTCTACAAAAGCGCACCTTCCAAGCTGATACATCAGCTGATACCCTAGCTCAACCCCCTGGCTGAAACCGGGATGTTTGGTCGAGCTAATTAGGCTTTCAGTAGGACTTGGACGAAAAACATCATAATGTAGCGACTCGATGTAGCGATTTTGATGGTAAATTCCTATTGCTGTTCTTTGGCCCGATCTGCGATCTGAGGACACAAATGAGAATACACGAGCGACGATTTGGTAATCTCGGCATCACAACAGTAACTTTGAGTGTCTTTTGTCCCAACTTTTCTAAATTAAATTAGCATCACTTTTACTTGGTGAAAGTTTTGGCGATAAAAACCTCCGTCGACGTCGGTAATGTCAAAACCCAGCTGGAACAATTCACCTCAACACCATTTTGGGCATCTCCTACCCTTGACGGATTACAGCCGGAGGCGGCGGCTATCGTAGAAGCGTTAACCGTATAGAGCTTACGAGTGCACAAATAGCCATTACGCCTACACTCGACTGGCAGGTGTTCGCTAGCAGTCCCGAGGGGAAAAGTGTGAAGCAACAAGCTGTGACCCAACTTCAATGACGCAAAATCGTATGACGTTCTGGGTACGTAGTCTTCGGACTGCGAACTTCCTCATTTGCTTGCGTGTATCAGGGAGCTAGGAGTAGTGCCCTGTCGATTTCATGCTGGGTAACGCTTAGCGCATGTCTATTCTGTTTCTGTAGGGTTCGAGCCACCAGTAGGGATTGAACTGTACATGGATGACGCTCTAACACGTTCAAAGCGACGAATTTTCCAAGCAAGTATTTCGTGCATAAAGCTGTTGCCTATAAGCAGGATCAGGCGTGTGCTACAGAGCGCGACGTGAGGAATATATTAGGTTTTTAAGTGAGACGATGGTGATGATTAACCGTTCCAAATAACCGACAAGAGGCTCGTCGCGCGGCAAGAGCAGAGCCAGCGGACGAGTCGCACTGTAACGATTTCGCGTAAATTTGGATAGAATGTGTAATTTTACGTCCTACTTCAAACAGCACGCGCTGCGACTCGTCCGCGACTCTGCCCTCTTTGCACGCGACGCCAACCGTCACGTTGTAGCGAATTTGAATCTTTACGTCTTCGTGAGGTGTTCCCCCTTCTACGAGCAGCTCTAGCTGCAGTGGTGTCGATTGTGTCGCTGGACATTCCTCAAACCCTCACCACGTGATATACTCCCAACTCCAAAAGTCGTGAAGCCGTCTCTGAGCGGGGTGGGGAAAGCGGATAGGAGCAAGGAGTGTAGAGTTTCTGAAACAGCAAGTTATACATATATCCCTCCATCACGACCTCTCTCCAAAGTACCGTGGTCTGTAGGGCGGAGATCTAAATCCCTTATTGAAAAGAGCTCCTCTGATCTGCTAGGAGGAGACAGACGCATGTAAAAAGTGATGTTATTCAGATCCGACCAACGTTTTTGAAACCATGTTTCTAATTCTGGCACACGAATGGTGGGAATTTATTACCCATGAAAATGATTTTGTTATTTGGGCTCTGTGGCGCAGACTCCCTGCGTTCGAATAACCTTCCTGTCTTATGGTCGTTCGAAAAAACCGATTATATTTGATGTTCGTGTTATCGAAGAACAAAAATAATGGAGAAATTTTTTTCGGAGCTTTTATTGAAAAAGTTTTGAATCTCTGTTTATTTCTACGATCTTCTCTTGCGCGTCCTGGGATTCCCACTTCTGCTCACAGACTCAGCTGCTCCCAGCCATGATTGAAACAGGAAATTTGCATGGCGGAAGTATCACAACATTCCCGAATACCTCTGTTTGCAAGCGCTTCTAGTAGTCTTCTATGTGTTTTCTGAGGCTGGTCTTTCAGAACAGCACTAAACAAAGTAGTAAAAGTCGGGGACTCTAAGTGGTACATAAGTTTGCACGTCAAAGTACATGTGAGAACGGAAGAAGCCAAGTATCGACAGCATGAGACATGAAAATTTATCGAAAATATAAAAGGATAAGGCACTTGCCGTTGATCAATCCCTTTTTGGGATGCGGCACGTATTCTACCTCCACTTGTGCATTTGTAGTGGCATATGAATGCGAATTAGCCTACACAATGACTTGCGGGGACAGCCGATGTACGAGTTAGTGTTTTTATCCCCAGACAAGTCTGGTACCAGCTTATCGACCTTGGAGGGATGGAAGGCTCAGTTGGCCCTGACGACGTACGACTCAGGATCCGATCGCAGAACCCACCACTTCCGTCCTACGTCCTATTGAAAATAATTATTCTAAAATGAAACCAGATATAGTGAAATCGAGAGATTAGAAGACAAATCGGAAAAGTTACTGCTGATGCCCAGCGTATGTGAACACCCAGTGAAAGTAGGCCTTTTTGGTGGAGAGTTGCTGCTGACAATGAGATCATGGGTCCGCGCTACACCTTACCTACTTAACATATATTTTTCTTTCAATCATTTCTTACATTCCCATCCATTGTTTTATTTCTATGCGTAACTCTTTTAGAATCGCGGCCGGCCTTGCTCATTTCATTATATTAGGTTGTCCCATAATTAGTGAATCACTTTGGGTATTTTTTGATTCAAGTTTTTTCTTTTTATTCGAAGTTCTTACTCGTCCAGCATACATCTCTGTCATCTACAACGTATTGTCTATTCATGGGAATTTATTCGTGGTCTCTCCCCTGAAATTTCAGGAGCTCTTGATCGAAGAAAGACCGGAAGTCGGGGTCGAGGTCATGTCACTTTGCGCAAAATTTCTTCCTGGGGAAGAGGGCTAGAGCTCAGACTGGGTTGTCTTTTGTTGGCACAAGGTTAGGGCTACACGGCGGAGGTGGAAGTACTGTTAGCCAGAGAGTCTCCAACTTTTTATGAATATTCTCTGGAAGGTGGGGTCGAACGACCTCGAGAAGAAAACAGACATTGTCTTGCTTTACTGTCAGATCGAACGCGTCGCCATAACGCTGTCGACGTTGACCTTCTTCAGTGACCCTAGTATTACTGGGTGGCGGTCTCCAGCGCAAAGTCCATCTCTTGTTTCACAAATATCTTGAAAAGGTCGGACATAGAAGAGGTTGGGCTTCTGCTGTCAGAACTCAAGAATCGTTCAAGATAGGCTACCGTTCCTTGTGGATTTGATAGCACACTCCACCCAGTCCACAATCCCAGTGAGCATGCTCTATGCTCATTGTAAAGAAGTAAGAGAGGACAGAAGGAACATGAAGATGTCAGATCGTGTTTGAAGCTGATTTGGGCACAGAGCACGGGAGGAACAAATTTCATATTTTTAAATCTTAACGACTCTACGGAGTTGTCTACATTCCACGGTCTTAACAAGTTGGATACGCTCTAGCAAGTAGCGACTAGTTTGTTCAGTTCCATTCTTAGTGGCGCTGGCTAGGGCAGTGAGATTGCCAGCCGAAGGGTACCTGGAGTATGGATCATCTTCAAATAATAAATTCAACCACGGAATAAGTCAATCATAAGTGTAACGTGGATCGAGCGAGCGTGCCCTCGCCTATCTGCTGGTCGATCCACAATGTTGTTTGGTGTTTCAAAGGTCCTAGTAAGAAATGATGAAGAGGGAAGCTCACAAATAGGCTTCAGAAAAACTGATGAAAAAGCCACGTAACGCATCGTGTAAATGGGCTGACGAAATACTCAGGTAAGAGAATGTGGGTGCTACTTGGCAAAACATGTTTCACGTCTCTAGCATTTTTCTTGGATTTTTCATAGCAATAAATGTAAAGTGATTCACTAATTGTGGGACAACCTAATAATACGCCCCGGAAACTGAGATAAATAATATACGTATGTTAGTTAATCTACACTAAACAGATCGGGAGCTTTTATGACAGCAAAGCGTTTCTGCGGTAAAATTCGCCACTCATTACCCACATTTCCTGTGCGTTTAATTAAGCGCTGTTCACTGCACTCGCTTAGGAGTATCCAGTCACATAACAGTTATCATGGAAGTTTTCCAGTAATTTTCAGCGGAAATGTTTCAGAAAAACAGCTATTTTGAGAACAGGTCAATTATTGCCATACCGCGAAAGGAGCGGGGTATTTAGAGTTCATGCATCAATGCAATTACGCGGTCATGTTTCAAGTATCATCACCGCTAGAAGTTGGTCTGTTAAAAGATGAAGTGGGTCGAAAGATGAGATTAATTCTTCGGACCTGAATTCTTTTCCGTGGAAGAATTTCTCTTCTAGCTGTTGTTTTTTCCTTGTGAGCACAAAAATATCACTATAGCGAAATAGGAAGCTATTGATCACAAATCAAGAATGTAGGAAGCTCTGAAAAGTGGCAGAGCTTCGTAGTTTTTTTAGCTTATGTCGAAACTATTCCAAATTAAATGTCATAAAACACAGAGGTACCAAATTCATTTCAAAAAAGTACTAAAAGTTCACAAAGTATGCGGAAAACTCCAAAATTCCAAAAAAAACCGAAAAGTTTCAAAAAGAACTCCTTTGAAATTTTCTGCTATATTTCGGTGTTCAACTCCTTCTTCAGTCCTGAAATACATTGATTTAACCACTGGTAAAAACAATATGATGGTTTCCCGAACTCATATATGTACCTACATGTGTATGCCTCAGCCGAGGATTTAGATTCCAAATCATTCTTTTTTTAAATTTTGTAACTTTTTTTTAAATTTGGTAATTCCAAAAGAGATATTCCAAACTAGTTTATGATCTTGCACATCACTACTTAAAGTTTTTAATAAGAAATTAAATTTATTTCAAATATTTTAAAAGTGATTGACACTTACCTAGCGGCTTGCTGAGACCAGCGCCGATTATTGTTGCACTCAAATACTATATAATATAATGCACAAATGCTTATAACGCTAACAGCAACACAAAATAAACTGACAGGCTCAAAGCATAATTAGAAATTGGAAGGGCGCCTGTTGTAATCTCTGCAGTGGGTAGTATAAGCTGTTTCAACGGTAATGCAGACATTTGAATTTGATGGAGGCAATTGCCACCGCCAGGTTTGAAGGGGTTAACCTATCTTGTTTCTTTCCTTATAGAATTTTACGATTCACAAGTCGAATCAATGCATTTTACTAGTCCTGTGTAATGAAAAATGCTTCTGTTGCCAAATATCGAAGAAAATGAAATTCACAGCCACCTGCTCATTTTTTAGTTTACCTTCCGTCGAGTGCCTTATGTAGTAGGCTGCTCTGCAAATCACAAAGTCTCAATAACTACCTGAGATTGTCACCCAAATAACATCACCATCGTGGATTCAATTGTTTACTTTTTATTGCGCTCTATTTTAAAATTGGCCTTTCATGAGCCCCACTTGCATTCTCTTTCGAAGACAGAAGTCCGCTGGGTCTTCCATTAAAATCAGGGTGAATAACTGTGGAGGATCTTCGAACATTGCTTAAAATCGTAACTAGGGTTAGAATGGTATATCGAGGAAGAGTCTTATAATAATTTGGCATGGAAACCCGTATTCTCCCTCTCTAGGGGGACCATGGCATGGGTGAAGCCCCCCCCCCCCGAGAAACACTCACGACCTACGTCCATAACGCACTCATTAGGCGTTTTCAAAGTAGGGCGATATTTGGGTTCACGAGCTCTAACTACATTTAAGAACAGATTGCTAGGAGAACTCACCTTTACTTCGAAAGAGAAATATAAAAAAAATATTCAGAAATGTTGTGGCGCGATAGCCTTGGGCAGCTGTCAATGTCAGGAAGAGGTCTTGGCAACGCGGCTTATGAAATGAAGGTTACTGTCGTGATGGGGGCCTTCTATTGACCCCACACATGGAGTTCCAGTGATTAGCACCTTCCTATCCGCAAAAGTATAATAGTACTCTTGTATGACGTAGAAGGCATTTATGATGGCATTTATGGTTATGATACCCATGATTGCCCCCAGTTTTTCGATGTGAGAGTCATATTTTCGATTCAACTAGAAATTTATCACAAAAAGTAATTTGACTTCCTTAATGGTCATGGCAACGGTCACAATCTTTTATGAACAAGGCGCCTCGTTCGTGCGTTGCGTACGGTAGAGGCCGCACCGTCAAAGTCAGAATATCCTAGGAAAATTTACCGGAAAAAGGCGATCTACCCATGATTAACTTGCCATGAGAAAAGCACTGAAATCTGAACGAGCCGGTCCCCTGACGTCAGTCCTTCAAATCCTCTTCTTCAACTTCTTCTTCATCAAGCATCAGGTTGTATACATCACACACGAATGGCCTCTTCGACCTATCATCTTCACCATGTAAAAAGGCCCCAGAAATATATCCAAGATTGGACCCAAACGAGAGAAAGCCGAGAGCCGGAAGGAGAAAGATTTTCGTAGATTTATTACTTTAGAATTTCTGCCTTATGAGGCGTTTTCAGACATTGCTTTCAAAAAAGGCTCATTTGGAGCAATGTTTTTACAAAAAATATTTGTTAGGATGCGATGCTTCGACAATGACGTGTTCCGTAAATGTCTACATGTGTTCTCTTCGATTGATGGCAAAGACTTGAAATCACAAAGTGTGGCTAAGTAAAGTGCTGATTGATTCATTAAAACTGTGTGATTCTTTCTTTGTCTCTAAACGATCTGCATGAATTATAATAGTAAATGTAACACTATTAGTAAGTATCGAGTTTCTTTTTCCCTCTCCTCTTCCTATCTCATCTGTCCATGATCTCAATGATTTGTTTTACGCAAGTGTTATGGATTAACTTATCTATTACGACGCAGTGTGCGCTTTTAGTGTTGAATCATCCACTGGTGCCATGTTATGTTTTTTTCGTCCGAAAATGTACAAGGTACAAGACGACAGATATATGTATATGCTCCGCCTCAATTAGAAATGATTTCATTGACTCATTCTCTCTGTTTATCAATCCTAAAACAATTATGTCTGAAAATTCCGTCTTCATTCCTTCCATTCTAAATAAACGTGCTCTTAAACAAGAGATTTTTCAGAGAGAAAACTAGGTTATAGGTCAGGAGAAGGGTGGGAATCGGTCGAGAATCCCTCAACGGCTCGTCTAGGATTTTGCTTGCTCGGTAACACTCTCCCGCGTAGGCATTTACTCTGGCCACGCGCGAGCCGTCAGTGCTCTCCGCTCGCATATTCACTCTCGACACTGTTCTCACACAGTACAGAGCCATGGTGGAGGATTTCCTCGACCGTTTTTCACCCTGGCCTGGAGTAGCCTCACGCAGCGGTATAGTATCGCAAGAAGGGTCAAGCGCCAAGTTGGAAAATTGTTGAAATTGGAAGAATCCCGCGCACGTCCCGCCCCGCTTTACCCCTCCCACACCCCTGTAGCCGTTGACAGTGTCGATAAATATGCCACCATTTGACATGACCTACACCAAATGTGGCACCAAAAATATAGAGGGGCGTAGTCCAGAGCAAGGATAAGGGCATACTCAAACCAAAAATGTTTTCTTATCAGCACTTCCAAATACGACCCCTCTTCTTCGAATACGACTCCACTGCCGAGAAGCACTCGACTGATGTTGGTCCTGCCCCTGGGTAGCGTAGCGCGGGCGTCCCACATTATCACTGCAGACCACAAGTATGAGTCCTTACGAATCTTGTGTAGACACCTCGATCGGCATCGACACTCAGAGCTGATAATTTATGCAAAATGCAATCGAGTACAAACGAGCTAATAGACTAGATCCCTCCTCAATGTGAATAAGTGCAAAAGCGTTCTCGACGATTAATGAAACCTTCGATCCAGTCAAAGTTAGAAGTTAGTTACACAGAGAAACTACGGCTTTTCCACATGCGTTCGAAGAAACAAACAAACAAGCATAAATTGCGGAATAGCCACAGATCATAACTGCCGGAACCTGATCGTTCACTGAACTTTTCCATTCAAGTCACTGTGGAGACTGCCCTCGGTTTCAGAGTTGGCGAACAGTGTGTGGACGGCACGGCATTGTCGTACTTGTAGAGTGAGTCGAGGAACCCCAAAAGTTGAAGAAGATGTTCCGCGATCATCTGGACATGGTTACGTGGAGAACACCAATGCATTCTCAATGATGGACGTACCGACGCATGTTCTGGGCGAGAACTTCACGGACGAGTTGCGGAAGTGGCATCAACTCGAATAAATCCTGTTCACAGATGGGACGGCTCATCGAATAATCGCGGAGTATGTTATGTTATTTTATATTTATTACGTCGCTAAGGCAGACGCAAAAAAAGCCAGAAAATTACCACAAGAATCAACACGAAGAAAAAACCCGAGCATACACGAGTATCAAGTAATTAATTACAAACTACGCGCCAACGAAGGGATAAGAAAGCATGTGTACCCAGGGATAGATAAAACGGTTTATCTCAAGGAACTAGGAAATTGAGAATTTAGATAATGCTGCAGCTATATGCCGCTTGAACACCTTTGAAGAAGCTGGGACCGCGAAACTCTTAATTTCTTTGATATATAAACTTCCGGCACGGAACGCAAAGCTTTTGGCTCTAACATTTGTTATGGGCCTCGCAAAAAGTATTTTGATTGCACCTCTTCTATTCCGAGAATGCACTGTTTTGAATTTAAATGAAAACTCATTTTAGTGATACAGAAGCTTATAAACCATACATACGTCAAATACATGCGCCGTGATTCCAGAGTAGAGAGGTTGAATTATCTGTTTCGAAAGGCAGTCTTTGGAATCCTATAATAGAGAAAATTTCCACTTCAGAGTGGAATTTTGCGTGTGAAGTTGTTTTTGCACTCTTTCTATTGCTTCAGCATCCTTTTTCCTGATGGGATGAAACACAGTAGCGCCGGCCTTAACGAGGCGGCGGATATATGCCTTATAAGCCTGAAGGAGGATGGTCTGATTCGTCAAGGAAAGTCCCTTAAAATATGGAAGGTGCGCAAGGGGGCAAAGTTGCAACGATTACGTATGTGCATGGAGAATTCAAGGGCATTGGTGTAGGTAAGACCAAGATCCCTTACAACATTTACTTGAGAGATTATGACCTCATCCAGTACATCTCCCTAGAAATTTCAAAAATATGATTTCCCGAATGAGTGGAAGTATCTACAGCAGTGATAGTTAGTGTGGCTTCCCACGCGCACGGTCGGGAGTCGAATCTTGGTTCATACGCCATCCAGCCCACGCAAGCCTTCCATCAATCCTGGGCCCACTAATGATTTCCAGAATCGTTTGGAAAGATCAAAACACTGGCTCCAATATTGGCAGACTCCCGCATTCATGTTGTAGACCAAACCTTATTTGAAGTTGACCCTGTATGTAAAACACTTGTGTGCAAAACTTGAGGACGGAAGTATTTTTTACATGGTATCTCACTACTAGCGAACCTAGGTCGATCAAATTTTGCACACACATAGAAGTAAATGTTGCGATACAGCGCAGACTTACTGGCAGAAAGACGATTAGAAAAGACATTTCTCCAAACACCCTGTTTGAAGCGTTTGATGGGTGAGGCTACTTCAACTCATGGAGACATTCAAAAGAGAGGAGTTGGTCCTCGATGGTGTGTATGACTACGGACTGCGAAGCATGCTCTGCTACGCGCTCCCATACTGGCCATAAGATTGGTTGAGAGTTCTTGTAAAGAAGCGATCCATTCCTCGAAGACCGTGACTGATAATTGCTGGACAGTTGTTGGCGTACGGGGATGAGCTACAAGAGCTCTCCTAATACAATAGCACGCCACACGTGTTTCATAGGATCTGATTGGGGAGCGGGCAGCTGTGTGTTGCCCTTGTGGGTTCTTTATGATGACGTCATTGCTGCTTTTAACATTCACCACCATCCCAAGTCTTCAGGGACGGTTGTAAAGTGCCATAGACTGGGAGTTAAAGGTGGTGAACTACGGCCGGTAGAACGGCGAATAATACTAAGGCGAAAACAGCGAGATGACCTAAAGCTCAGAGTGGTGAAACTTCACTACATTCTAGCAAATAGTCGCGTCGCCATGACTTGAAACCATGAAATGCAGATACACCACGTGAACGATTGCACACTGCCACCACAGAACAATTGCGGGATGCGCCCGCGAAATATCGGCTGGCTTTCTTTGAAAGAACTGCAGAAGCAAGGTCATAAACCTAATGAAAGTTCGGCAAAACACGAATTGAGTAATTAAGGGGGAATTTTTGAGCCAATACGACGCAAACCCATGTCAACAAGGAAACCTTGAACCCAACTGCGCCAATCGACGTGATTGAAACGGGAATCACAATGACCTAGATGACTGTACAGGGTTGAAAGTGGACAGGGAAGGAGCATATACACGATCACGATAAGCTGGAACCAACTGACAAGGCAGACGAAGCTGAATCAACCATTATTGCAGGAAGCTATAGCAATATTATCAGATAGCTCGAAGCTGGACTTTCTGGTCTGCCCACACCTCACACACTCAAACACCTTCTACGCAAACCCCTGTTCTTCCACTGCGACGCTGCGACATGGCAGAGGACGCAGAGACGACTCAATGACCGACCAATGATTGACAGTGCAGGAGAGAACAGGGGAAAGGGGATTGAAGAGACGCAGATAGAACGGCCCGAACTAAATGTACTCAAGGGGTACAATTTAGAGATCTGCTCATACATAATACCCCTCTCTGGTCTCTGCAAGTTCTCAATGCACTTTCTCCGTTCTCGTTGCCTAGGTTCCCAGTCGGGCAAAGTGCCCAACTTAATACTTTGGCCACTGTTAAAGCCGAGCGGAATTTTACGATGAGTTGTAGGATGCGGTTCAATAGTGCGAATGTTGAGATGGAATAATGCTCCAGTGGGCGTAAAAGCTAGAAGAAAGCATAGTTCGTTACAGAGAGGGCGCAAATTAGGCTCTTCTTTTGCCCGCTTTGAACCTCCGATAACTAGGAGGAGCCTAAGCAAGCCATTAGGACAATCGTTTGCACATATTATGCTGAATAGGCTATCATCTAATTATCAGCAAGCATCATGCCTTTGATTAGAATCACGCATCTGAATTTACCATGAAAAAGATTTGTGATAGGATACCTCTGGAAGTGGAATATCTCGTCACACTATCAATCGAAGGGCGCTGCTGCTTGGGGCGGAGCACAGACCGTGGCGGGGCTCAGAAAGGAATGGCAAGCCTTGTACGCTGCAACTAGCGCATCTTTGACCACAAAAACTCAACATTTCGTTTCCTTGGGTCCCTGACTACTGCTTCCAATGGTGCATGTACTTCCACGCTGCATACGCACTTTATCGTAATCTCTCGCTTTAAGATGTTGCCTAGACCTCGCCCATCGCGGCAGGTAAGTGCGAGTTTCTCGCCTTTCCCAATGCTTTTTGGGTGCGGACGAACGACGTCAACGCGACCTATTCACCAACTATAGACTGGCTGTTTAGGGGACTTTACTACCGTCCCAGCTGATTAGAGCCGAGCCAGTCTGTTAACGATGTCCCTGCATTTCGGTTCTTTAACTTCTCGTGTAAGGCGTCTACTCGCATTTTTCGCCTTGGCGACAGCAGGCTTGACAGACCTATTGCGGGTTCAGGGAGCGAGATCATCCGGGTTTCGCATCTC